TTAACAAATACAAGCTGGTCCGGAAAGTGGAAAGGAACTCGAAATCACCAGCTCGACAGCAGCCTGAACAGGCACAATTCTCGATACCGGGACCTCGAGAAGATCGCATACGTCCTTCATCCATCCTTCGAAAAAGAAGCTCCAGCACTTTAGCGGCTAGCGCAGCAGCTGTGAAAAGGGCTACGAAACTAGTTCGAGCGAAACGTTCGACTAGTCGCGAGGAATTGGATGATACAAAAAAGCATGTCAGTGCTTTATGTGTATGCAATAAGTGACAATGCTGTGAATGAATGTGATTGCAGACGGATGTTGACAAGCCGATGAGCACTGAGAGAGGAAACCTTTCTCATGATAAACAGAGGATGATGACTATGACGTCACCTCCAAAATTGAGAGCCGCTACTTATGCTGCGGAGTCCTTGACAGCTACTCGCGACCAAGCGGTTATATTAAGGTAAGTTCGTAGGGAAAATTTTAGTCTAAAAGCTTTATAACTCAGCTGACTGAAGCCCATGTGGGGAAACAATGCGTTGTCTACACAAGACTCTTTTAGATCTCTTCTTGCGCTCGTGGGTAGACACTGTCCTGCAGAATACGATAAATATGTGTTATTGGAAGAACGGGACAAATTACTGTCCAGATTGAGAGAAGTGAGTGTTTTCGGTTCGAATGTTTGCCTTGATAAGTGCTGCTGATTAGCCAGAATCGAGATTAATAAATATAATAACACAGCACTGCGGCACATAGAGGCTGTTGGTCATCTCATAGATGAGAATGCTCCTCAATTGTTGCGAGAACAAGACAAATTCGCGCTTAGGGTTGTGCAGCTTCTATCTAGGTTGTCTGCCGGATTTTGCATGTCTGCTGAGCTATGTATTGAATTTTCTCACTGTTCTAGATAGATTATGCTGCCCGAAATTATAAATGCACTAGAAACGTTGCATTCGATTCTTTGCAAACTATTATCTATAAAAACTTAGATGTAACATTAACATTGCCACTATACCATCTATATTTAAACAGCATTCGGTTAATTAGAAAATTTTTTTCTACAAAAACAAACAGCAGAAAGCTGAAAATAATAGGCCTAATACTTTAATCACTTCAACGCTTTTATAGTCTCCAATTTTTGAGTAAAGTCTCAAATTTGAGCCATTTAGCTTGATCAGATTCTGCCGCGTTTTCTAAAGAAATGCTTTTCTGCTTGCAAAGTGCAAATCAGTACTGCTTTTATTTGGCCAAACGTCTTCCTTTGATGGAAGTCTTGATTACCGGATAGAAACGAGTATATATATATATATATATATATATATATATATATATATGCTGTTCAGGAGTTCTGAATCTCCTGGCAGTGTAGTCAAAACCAGCGGTCGGGAGAAAAATTCACACTACCCAAGCTGCATCCAATTTCAACGCGCCCTCAGCGCGATTAGAGCTTCGGTTTCAATGCTTGGTTCATACTGTTCGTGGCTTCCTGAATTAAAGTGGAACTTGAAAAGATGTGTATGTACCCGAGGCCCAGAGTAGTCCTGTTTTATCGGAGAGGAACTTTTGCAGGGAGTTACAGCAATGAGGCGCGTGTTTTACCACAATTTTCATCATTGGCCCACACTGTTTGAATACGTAGAATGGCGGTTTTAAATTGTTAGTGGAAGAGTCAAAATAGTTGGCAGACCTGATCTCCATTTTGCTCCCGTTGGTATACTGTGAAAGTTTTTTTCGGACAGAACCGAGATAAACAGCACTGCAGACACCCTCGGGCGCACATATTCTCTTTCCAGATGCATTGTTTCCACTTTGTTTCATTAGTCCATGAACACTCCGAGTCGAGTTATGGAGCTGAGTGTGCACCTGATCTTTGCTGAGAACGGTCAAGTTGGGTTCAGCTTGCATTATGTGTAATTTGCCCCGAGTACTAGTTCTCTCTGAGTTCCTAGAAATTCACATTAACATAGTGCCGGAAAAAAACTCTATCGAAATATGGATTTTTACGGCGAAATAAAGTCGTTATCATTCCTGCAGTATGAGAATAGACATACATTATTCTTGTCCAACGTAATCCATGCCGCATGCTTCAAAGTTTGGAGTTATACTTCACGAAAAATATATGAGGTCAGAAAGCTGGTGTGAACGGCAAAATTTCTGTCATTTTGACCAGATTTCATCGCCCTTTTCAAAATTTCACCGAACTAATTGAAAACTGCAAAATGATAGCATATCGACATTTCACGTTTCAGTTAAATCTTACAAAGCAAGAATCCTTAGGAGAAATGAAATTCAAAAAAGTGCTTGCTGCCATGGACTTTAAATGGATTTCTGAGTGTTCCCTTTCATCTGCGAAGCGTTCCTTCGGAAGAGATTCTAAGTCTTGGAAAATCACCACTCTTACCACTCCTTTTTTCTGCGCCTCGATGGTCCAACATTGATCAACATGTGCACGCAGTGTCGGCTGGTGTAGGGGTAAGATTTCCGTTTGTCAAGCGTGTTATGTCTAAGTTTCTTTAGCATCACATTTGCAAGCCCAAAATAATGCACACATTAGTTTTTGAGCCAACCAAATTAATATTCAAACTTACCTATCGTGAGTATCTATGAATAGCCAGCATACTTGGCTTGGTTGGAAACTCTGAGGTATGACGAATCAGTCTTTGTGTGTTGGTGGGGGCTTATCTGTTATCAATCATTTTTATTGTATCAACTCTGACCTTCTGCTTGCATCTTGTCTGTCGTAGATTTTATTGTTCGTCTATCCTTGCGCACCGCTCGCTAACCCTGAACGAATCTCTTGTCAAGTGGATCGCCAGTCTCAAATAAGTTTGTTCGGGAAATTTGCTTCTTATTATCCCTTTTTTTGGCTTCGCCCATTAATTTCTCAAATAAATTCTCCAAACTTCTTCATTGTAATCCTAGGCTATCTTCGTTCGACAATACGCGAAAGCAGAAATACGCAGCTAAATAGATTCTTCCATGAACCTTAAATGGAGGAAGCAAAGACAGGAAATACTATATGAAAATAATCCAGAAAAGTCCAAGTTGGACGATGCTTCTAACTGGAATTTTTTTCAGGAGGGGCGCGGTGTGTGTTTGCACAGGCGAACGTGATACTCATAAGCAAAGTCTAGCGAGCAACGCTTAAAGGTAAACCGCGACTTAATCGGGAGAACGATTAATATATACTATCTAGAGAGGAAGTGAAGGTGTCAGAACGTTGCGAGTGCATTTTGAAATGAGCCCACTTCCACTTTTAAGGTGTTTCTTTTATGAGAGGGAAATATTAATGCGCACAACTGATGCTTTTGCTCCAAAAGTATCATTTTACTTTAACTGCATACTGGACCCATATGGGCAACCGCTCTGCTTCAACGTACTTCTCCTTTGGAGAGGTCCGCATTGGCATGTCGGATAATTGTTAGCACATCATCTTTTCACTCCGATCTCAGAAGGGTTATTGAAAGGGCTATAAATTCAACCTTACCTCTCAACGCCATATCGACAACGAAAGCAGAGCCGGTTTTTCCCTGCTGAGCATGTCCATCGCAACTTACAAAAGAAGGATACTCAGTCGAAGTGACGATTTAAGAAGTGATGTACAATATTAGATGCACTTTCAGACGCTGATTCCAAATCTGCCTTCCATATCTGCGAAGCGTTTCTCTGGAAGAAGTTATGAGCGTT